TTTCAAGCGGGGATTCGTTCTCGTAAGGTCCAATCGGAGACCTCGTGCCGAGGCCTGATAGCAATATTTTATCACTATGTGTACAGGGTTTCTAATTTTTTTAAGTCTTCACTTGCATGGTATATAAGCATTGCACTGCCAAGGAATACTGATAGCAATGACTCATTTCGAGATTCTCCTTTTGGTAAGCGTTTCAAGCGAATTGAATGTATCTCAGCAAAATGAGTTTTCTATTAAACCTTACAGCTATCTACTTTGGCGTTTTCCCTTCAAAAAGACAGTGATTGTCAGTGCTTGGACGATATGGCTCTCGATAATTCCTATCGAAAAGTACTTTCAAAATTTGTCAAAGGATAGAATCTGAGGCCGTGAGTATGATGTTTATATATTTTCAATATTAATCTCCTACTAGGGAGAAATAGGGTGGCAGCGAAAAGGTGTTACAAATTATTTTTAAGGTTTATGACTGTAGGCTTGAAGCCATAGCCACATTGACGTCAAATCGACAAGCCATAGCTACTGAACTCAAAGCACATCTTCGCTATTCATCAAAAGGGTTGCGTATTTTCCTTTTTTTCCTTGATACGTTCTAGACTTCTTTTTTCTACAACAGCGACTCAATTTCAGAGGAGTGTGCGACGACCCCGCACAACAACGTGCATTTATTAGTGAAGCCCTGAGAACATTTAAAATCACGGGACCGGTAAGCGATTTGCTGCATTTAGTGATATCAGCCAGTCAGACTTATGTCTTTCAGGCTTCCTTTAGAAAATTTGGATGCAACTTCAATAAACAGAATTGCGCAGTCTTATGCTTCCTCCTGAAGTAAGGAAGATATTTGATAAGCTGAGTTGTAACCTCAATAGATAAATTCTGTTTCTAACTCTGAGAGCACTTCTACCTAAATGCTTATTTTGATATAAGATTGCATAAGAGGGGAATTGTGTGAAGATCCGTAGTTATGATGATCGCGGAGTCAGAGAATGGTAGTCAAAGTAGAGAAGACACACTTTGAATAGATCTGATTCCAGCATATGCAAAGCATTCTCCAGATAGCTTCTGCTGAAAAGGATTCGATTGATCATTGTTCTTTGATGCATAGATATTAGACAAATCTGGCAGTGTGGTATTGCATAGTATTAGTGTAGAATCACCGCAAGAGCTACCTGAAGTGATGGCAACAGAATCTGCTAACTACATAGCTCACAGATCAAGCCTTCTCCTAAAAATAACCAAGCCTCTTATAATCCTATCCAATAAAGATAACCAAGCCTTCCATACCTTCGAGGTCTGAGCAGGTTAGAGTTTTCGGAGAAACTAAGCATCGACATGAAAATTGTCGGCAATTTACTGCTCAGTATTTTATCATGTAAACGTCTCTACTTTGCTAAAATTCGTCCAACAGAGCTACTTGCTATGGTGTCGCAAACATTGCATAGCTTTCGCCGGTAAGGCTTCGGCACGAGATCTTTAATTGCGCCTTACAAATCCTCTTCGCAAAGAAATTACGACACCTATAGCGTGCACAAATACTTGCGAGACAAATTCTGCATCGCTACCTACTTGGCGTGCTTTCACTTTTTTCACCTTTCATAGATAAAACTTTGTTTTGTTTCTTACTAAAAAAGCACATCTGATATGCTTGTTTTTATATAAGATTATACCAGAGGAGAATCGATGATCAGAGAGTAAAAAGTTCTAGCTAGACTACAGAAAGCAT